TGGGATTTAAATGATAGCAAATATGAGTGAAATAACAAATGAAAACTTTGAGCAAATGTTTCCCATAATTAGGGATCACATAAAGCACTCGTCTTTCATAGGTTTGAATGTCTTTGAAATCAACTTTGATTTAATTGTCTTATAATCTGTGACTCAATAACAGCGTTGGACACAGAGATGACTGGATTGGTGTACAACAAGACGTGTACTCCGAGTCTATTCGACACTTTGGACAAGAGATATGACAAACAGCGACAGTCGGCCACTAATTTCATTGTCTGCCAAATGGGACTCTCGTTGTACTCCAAGAACCAGAACTCAAATTCGTATTGACTTTAATTAGATATAAATTTATTAAATACTTTAAATGCCATTCGTTTGCATTTGACGACAGTTACCACACGAAGACGTATACCTTTTATTTATGTCCGCGATCTCTGCAGTACCGAAAGCCCACCTTCGCTATGGACTTGTCTGCCATCGAGTTCTTGGCGTACAATCACTTTGAATTTGATAAAGTATTTAAAGCGAATCTATTATTAAACTATTACTTAATGTGTTTTAAAACTATTGAATAGTTTGCGAAAAATGGTATCAATTATTTGAATGAAATCGAAGAACAGAATCTGAGAGACAATTTTGACGACTATATGGACATTGATTTTATTGAGTGTCCATTCAATTACGAGAACAGTAGTCATCAGTTATCCGAGTGGTTATCCAATCGACTCGTCGATAAAAATAGTGGCAATCAATGTGTGCTTAAATGTCGTCCAACAGTCAATCCATTACTTAATTATGCATTTTTGAGAGAATTTCGCAAAAATTTCACCACTGTTTGGGTCGAAGAAATTAATGACAGATTTGTTGCCAAACCAATCGATGCCAACCAAAGAACACAACTCTTGAAAGCGGAACACTTTGAAAAAGAGCGGGTTATCGACCGAATGGTTGGATTCTCTAGAGTTTTCCAATGCCTGGTTGACGCCAGACGACCCATTGTTGGCCATAATATGATTATGGATTTACTTCTCATATATCACCACTTCTATCAACCCCTCCCGAGTCCGTCACACTATTTCTTTTCATTTTACTTTTTTAACATTATTTCTACATTTTAGACAAATTGAAGGCATTTAAGACATCTCTTCATTCATTATTTCCATATATTTTTGACACTAAATGTGTAATATTTAATGAGAAAAAGGTTTGTTTGATTCATATAATTGTTATGTTTATTATATACGGTATTAATACTGTATTTACAATTTGGTTATTACATAATATGTAGGACTTATCGGAATTGTCGCATATTTTCAAAAATTCTTCTTTGGGTGATATTTATACGAAATTATTGGACGACGAGATCGTTAATAGTTATACAAATTTGCCTAAAATTGAACAATTGGATGATCAAAATCATAAAGGTTTTTATTATTCATATTTAGTGTTATCTATTTAATTAATTATATTGTCTATAAATCTAATTGATAGCAATCGAAAAGTATTCACCACATAATGCAGGCTTTGATGCTTTCGCCACAGCATTT